TTCACAATTTACAAAGGTAATGAACTCACAATTTACAAAGGTAATGAACGCCAGGTAGGTCTAGTCACAATCATGACAAGTTACAAAGGTATTAACAGATTATAGAGGTACACAATGGGTCCAGGGACTGGGCCCCAAAGTTTTGATGACTGAACTAGGTACAAGGTAATGAACTCACAAGTTACAAAGGTAATGAATACTGTAAGAATGGTTACTTGCGTTTATACATGGCTACAATCATGAACAAATTTTAGAGTAATGAGCAATTCACACTTCCACACCCAGTCACAACTGTAGTGAGTTATTGGTGCAAATATTGATTGTTGAGTCACAACACACACACACACACACACACACCACACACACACACACACCACACACACACACACACACACACACGCACACACACGCAACCGGTGAAGAGGCGGGGCCAGGAGCTAGGACTCGACCCCTGCAACCACAAATAGGTGAGTACAAATAGGTGAGTACACACTAGAGAGGGCGGTGTACTCTCAAGTAGTTAAGTACCTCAATAACAACAACATTCTCCATAGATATCAATCGAGCTTTAGAAGATCTTACTCAACCGACACCTCCCTAATTAACCTGATGGATTACTTGAGAACTGAAATGTCAAAGGGGAACCTCATAGGTATGGTAACCTTAGACCTGCAAAAGGCCTTCGATACTGTCAACCACAATATATTATGTAAGAAACTTCAAGCTATCGGTATAGGTTCTGTAGACTGGTTTAAGTCCTACCTTAGCAACAGGAGACAAATTGTCAAAATCAACAAAACGGAATCAGAACCCTTGCCGATAGCATGTGGAGTTCCCCAAGGTAGTATTCTGGGTCTCTTATTATTCTTATGTTATGTCAATGACATGCCTATCAGTGTCAAGTGCAAACTCCTACTGTATGCAGATGACAGTGCCCTGTTAGTGTCAGGTAAAGACCCACAAGATATAGCTAATGTTTTAACACTGGAACCGGAGTCCGGCAGCAAATGGTTAGTAGACAACAAACTATCATTACATACCGGGAAACCTGGAGTTTACCTGGAGAGAGTTCCGGGGGTCAACGCCCCCGCGGCCCGGTCTGTGACCAGGCCTCCTGGTGGATCAGAGCCTGATCAACCAGGCTGTTACTGCTGGCTGCACGCAAACCAACGTACGAGCCACAGCCCGGCTGATCAGGAACCGACTTTAGGTGCTTGTCCAGTGCCAGCTTGAAGACTACCAGGGGTCTGTTGGTAATCCCCCTTATGTATGCTGGGAGGCAGTTGAACAGTCTTGGGCCCCTGACACTTATTGTATGGTCTCTTAACGTGCTAGTGACACCCCTGCTTTTCATTGAGGGGATGTTGCATTGTCTGCCAAGTCTTTCGCTTTCGTAGTGAGTGATTTTCGTGTGCAAGTTCGGTACTAGTCCCTCTAGGATTTTCCAGGTGTATATAATCATGTATCTCTCCCGCCTGCGTTCCATGGAATACAGGTTCAGGAACCTCAAGCGCTCAAGGACCATAACATTGTATCAATCGCATCTGCTAGAAAAATGACAGGATGGATAATGAGAACCTTCAAAACTAGGGATGCCAAGCCCATGATGACACTCTTCAGGTCACTTGTTTTATCTAGGCTGGAATATTGCTGCACACTAACAGCACCTTTCAAGGCAGGTGAAATTGCTGACCTTGAAAATGTACAGAGAACCTTCACGGAGATAAAACACCTCAGTTACTGGGAGCGCTTGAGGTTCCTGAACCTGTATTCCCTGGAGCACAGGCGGGAGGGATACATGATTATATACACCTGGAAAATCCTAGAGGGACTAGCACCGAATTTGCACACGAAAATCACTCACTACGAAAGCGAAAGACTTGGCAGACGATGCAACATCCCCCCAATGAAAAGGAAGGGAGTTTGCATTTTCCTGTTGTCATATAGGCACGGCATTTTCTAGGGTGGTCATAGTTGCACGTCCCATCTGTTTTTCCAGATTTCCCATGCCTGCAGATACCAAGTGCATAGTATGTGCACAGGCTTGGTTTCCGTTTGCCTTGCGTTTCTGTGACTGTATTCCCTGTTAGTGCATGTTTACATGTCTCATTCCTATCTTCACTAGTACTAACAATGGAGCTCTTACCAGTTGTTTCTGGTAATGTATCCTTACTATTGCTAGTGGAGTCCCCTTGTTTGCTATCTCCTGTGGCATTACTAGTTTGTAATATTGGTTTTATCTTGTCTTTGACTACACTTGTTTCCTCACTACAGCTCCTGTCTCCCTCGAGGTCAGCATCTCCATCCTCACCATTACTGTCTCCCAGGACAGCACCTCCATCCTCACCATTACTGTCTCCCAGAACAGCACCTCCAGCTTCACCATTACTGTCACCCAGAACAGCACCTCCAGCTTCACCATTACTGTCACCCAGGACAGCACCTCCAGCCTTACAGTTTCTGACTACATGGCCAGAACCAAGGGCGATACCATCCAGCCCAGACTTTTTATTTTCCTATCTGTTATAGAATGCTTCCAGGTTTTCTATGAAGGCTACTTTGATGTTATCCTCTTTTAATACCAATGTGATTTTAGTCCACAGATTTATCTCATTTGGGCATACCCAAAAACACTTCCCTGTTTTAATACTGCTTGTAGATAGTTCTTGGATATCTGCACAAGGGGCGTGACACCAATTTTCACAAAAATGGCAAGTTATCCATGTCATGTGGAAGCCCGTTTGTTTGTTTGACTGCAGACTACACAGAGCTTCATAATGTTATTTGAATGGTTGATTTACTATAGTTCTACTAGTAACACCTTGAATATTCTACTAATAACCTCCTTAAAGTGAAGATCTGGCTATTTGTATTTCTATTTCTAACTGTACTTGTATATTAGGACAGCTTACCGGTGTACGTTCCTGTTTTATATTTATTGTTTATTGGCTGAAGACTCAGGAAGATTTTACCTGGAGTGGGTTTCGGGGGTAAACGCCCTGCGGGCCGGTCTGTGACCAGGCCTCATGGTGGATCAGAACCTAATCAACCAGGTTGTTACTGTTGGCTACACGCAACCCGACATACAAACCACAGCCTGGCTGGTCAAATACTGACTTTAGGTACCTGTCCATTGCCATCTTGAAGACAGCCAAGGGTCTTGGGCCCCTGACACTTATTGTGTTGTCTCTTATAGTGCTAGTGGCGCCTCTGCTTTTCATTGGGGGGGGGGATGTTGCAGCGTCTGCCGAGTCTTTTGCTTTCATAGGGAGTGACTGACACCAGTCAATCCTTCTATCATCTTTCTATAATGCAGGAAGAGCCACATGTCTATGGTGCATCCAACAAAATAATCAGACTCTTGGATGTCACTACCGCCCGGCTCCGGCTGGGTTACAAGTATCTATGGCAGGTTAAATCACCACCACCAGATGTAGACCAAATACAATGTGATCTTTGCTAAATGGACTATTGTCACACCTTGCGTCATATATACTGGAGTGCGATAAAATTAAAGAATTCAGAGACAACTCACTCAGAAATGTTAAAAATACGTCACAGTATTTTATCCACTGTGGTATATTACAAACCCTTCTGGAAAAATACCCTGTCTTCGCTCATTGTAAGTTAAGCTAATATTTGCATTAATAACTTACTGCAATTGTGATCAGGTGTTGCCCTTTGAATTTTTCATTGCCTTTGTAACTCGTTCAGCTATCAAAACTTTGCGGCCCAGTCCCTGGACCCATTATATACCTTGAAATTTTTTTGGGGTGCATAATAAAGATATTAGATTAGTTGCCATTACTCCCTTGTACTGGGCCTCAGTGATTTCACGAAGGGTGTTTAGAGGAAAATCCACTGTTTCTGGCAGGGATATCTGGCACACTCTCTTCCTTTTCAGGATCGAGCTCAGTCCGGTCTTTCAACTGTCCCTGTCCTTGGGTTCGTTATCCAAACCGCTAAGTGGATGTTGCACTGATCTGCCTCCTAGTAGGGCATTCATGGCTGGAGGCTCATCTGCACCACCTTCGGGTGACAGACATCACGTCCTCCCCATGGTATCTCTCTCAGCCTGAGACGGTGGAGCACTTCAGGGTGGCTCGGTGGCTAAAGCTCTCGCCTCACACACGGAGGGCCCGGGTTCGATTCCCGGCGGGTGGAAATATTTCGACGCGTTTCCTTACACCCGTTGTCCTGTTCACCTAGCAGCAAATAGGTACCTGGGTGTTAGTCGACTAGTGTGGGTGGCATCCTGAGGGACAAGATTAAGGACCCCAATGGAAATAAGTTAGACAGTCCTCGATGACGCACTGACTTTCTTGGGTTATCCTGGGTGGCTAACCCTCCGGGGTTAAAAATCAGAATTAAATCTTATCTTGTCTTATCTGTCCTACTCATTGTGGAGGGATTTGACCCTCCAAGCCGTCAGGATATTTTGGCTTGTACCTGAGCCTTCTTGCTGGCCACAGGGCACAATGAGGACATTAAATGTATCTTTATTAGTCTGGTGGCCTGGTGGCTAAAGCTCTCGCTTCACACACGGAGGGCCCGGGTTCGATTCCCGGCGGGTGGAAACATTCGACACGTTTCCTTACACCTGTTGTCCTGTTCACCTAGCAGCAAATAGGTACCTGGGTGTTAGTCGACTGGTGTGGGTCGCATCCTGGGGGACAAGATTAAGGACCCCAATGGAAATAAGTTAGACAGTCCTCGATGACGCACTGACTTTCTTGGGTTATCCTGGGTGGCTAACCCTCCGGGGTTAAAAATCCGAACGAAATCCTATCTCTCTTATCTTAACTTCCTTACACTTTAGTTGAAGATGAGATTAAGACACATGTGCAACATCTGGGTATCTTTATTGTAGACGTTTCGCCATCCAGTGGCTTTATCAATACAAATTCTAGGATGGCGAACGTCTACAATAAAGATACCCAGATGTTGCACATGTGTCTTAATCTCATCTTGTCGGTATTATATACCATTCGTACACAACTTTAGTTGAGGTTAGTTCCGGGAGCCTGGAAGGCTGGGTTCGGTACGGTGTAAGTTGTTAGTGGTCCTATAAACCCCAACAACAACAACAACAACACTGCTGAGCTCATCTATAGTATGAACTATTAACGTTTCTATTTAATGTATTCTCTTAATTGCTTTTGTAAAACTTGAAGCTTGAGCTGTGTGGCCGTGCTTGAGCGTAAGTTTTAATGAAGGAAAGTTCTTATTGAACCTAGAAAAGTAGAAATAAACTAGAAGGAAAAAATCATCGATTTTCTTCCATCTTAAAATTATAATACAAAAATTTTCAAGACCTTTTTCTCCTTATTAAATATTTAATGGAGACTTCTTCTCCCCCTTATACCTATGAAATGTTCCTGATCATGTGGACCTGGGGCTTCTTTTTCTGGGATCGAACCCATGTGTCTCCCTTTATTACCCAGTGAAAGTGAAGCAGAATATTTCCTAAAAATAGCTAAAAGTGTTTCTTTTTGACTCAGTGATGTGTGTTGTGCTTAAAAACTATGTACCATGTTCTTGAATGTGATAAAATGTAGAATTAGATGATTATCAAGCTTCCAGCTATTTTATTTAATTCATAGTTTTTTTTGGGTTCTTTTATTTCACAGAAAATTTGAATAATTTAATCATGGCCTCCTTGCTTCTCCAAGAAATAATTTCTGTTACTGTAAGTGAAATTCAACAGCTAAAGTTTTCGCAGTTGTCTCTCCATGAGAAAATTACAGTTAAGAAAAAAGCCCGTTCAACGCCTGATATTCAAATATCTCAGCTAGGAATAAGCAGCAACAAGAAGCATATTCGTAGCTTTAATTATGAATGGTACCAATGGAAAAGTTACCTTTGTGGCTCTGAAGTAAAAAATGCATTGTTTTGCTTCCCATGTTGTTTTGCTTCCCATGTTGTTTTGCTTCCCATGTTGTTTTGCTTCCCATGTTGTTTTGCTTCCCATGTTGTTTTGCTTCCCATGTTGTTTTGCTTCCCATGTTGTTTTGCTTCCCATGTTGTTTTGCTTCCCTATGTTGTTTTGCTTCCCGTGTTGTTTTGCTTCCTGTGTTGTTTTGCTTCCCGTGTTGTTTTGCTTCCTGTGTTGTTTTGCTTCCTGTGTTGTTTTGCTTCCTGTGTTGTTTTGCTTCCTGTGTTGTTTTGCTTCCCGTGTTGTTTTGCTTCCCATGTTGTTTTGCTTCCCGTGTTGTTTTGCTTCCTGTGTTGTTTTGCTTCCCGTGTTGTTTTGCTTCCTGTGTTGTTTTGCTTCCTGTGTTGTTTTGCTTCCTGTGTTGTTTTGCTTCCCATGTTGTTTTGCTTCCTGTGTTGTTTTGCTTCCCATGTTGTTTTGCTTCCCATGTTGTTTTGCTTCCCATGTTGTTTTGCTTCCCATGTTGTTTTGCTTCCCATGTTGTTTTGCTTCCCGTGTTGTTTTGCTTCCTGTGTTGTTTTGCTTCCGTGTTGTTTTGCTTCTGTGTTGTTTTGCTTCCTGTGTTGTTTTGCTTCCTGTGTTGTTTTGCTTCCTGTGTTGTTTTGCTTCCCGTGTTGTTTTGCTTCCCATGTTGTTTTGCTTCCTGTGTTGTTTTGCTTCCTGTGTTGTTTTGCTTCCCGTGTTGTTTTGCTTCCTGTGTTGTTTTGCTTCCTGTGTGTTTTGCTTCCTGTGTTGTTTTGCTTCCCATGTTGTTTTGCTTCCTGTGTTGTTTTGCTTCCCATGTGTTTTGCTTCCCATGTTGTTTTGCTTCCCATGTTGTTTTGCTTCCCATGTTGTTTTGCTTCCCATGTTGTTTTGCTTCCGTGTTGTTTTGCTTCCTGTGTTGTTTTGCTTCCGTGTTGTTTTGCTTCCTGTGTTGTTTTGCTTCCCATGTTGTTTTGCTTCCCATGTTGTTTTGCTTCCTGTGTTGTTTTGCTTCCTGTGTTGTTTTGCTTCCCGTGTTGTTTTGTTTCACGTATTGTTTTGCTTCCTGTGTTGTTTTGCTTCCGTGTTGTTTTGCTTCCCGTGTTGTTTTGCTTCCTGTGTTGTTTTGCTTCCCGTGTTGGGTTTTGCTTCCCGTGTTGTTTTGCTTCCCGTGTTGTTTTGCTTCCCGTGTTGTTTTGCTTCCTGTGTTGTTTTGCTTCGTATTGTTTTGCTTCCCATGTTGTTTTGCTTCCCGTGTTGTTTTGCTTCCCGTGTTGTTTTGTTTCACGTATTGTTTTGCTTCCCATGTTGTTTTGCTTCCTGTGTTGTTTGCTTCCCATGTGTTTTGCTTCCCATGTTGTTTTGCTTCCCATGTTGTTTTGCTTCCCATGTTGTTTTGCTTCCCATGTTGTTTTGCTTCCCTGTTGTTTTGCTTCCTGTGTTGTTTTGCTTCCTGTGTTTTTTGCTTCCTGTGTTGTTTTGCTTCCTGTGTTGTTTTGCTTCCTGTGTTGTTTTGCTTCCCGTGTTGTTTTGCTTCCCATGTTGTTTTGCTTCCCATGTTGTTTTGCTTCCGTGTTGTTTTGCTTCCTGTGTTTTTTTGCTTCCTGTGTTGTTTTGCTTCCTGTGTTGTTTTGCTTCCTGTGTTGTTTTGCTTCCTGTGTTTTTTGCTTCCTGTGTTGTTTTGCTTCCTGTGTTGTTTTGCTTCCTGTGTTGTTTTGCTTCCTGTGTTGTTTTGCTTCCTGTGTTGTTTTGCTTCCGTGTTGTTTTGCTTCCCGTGTTGTTTTGCTTCCCGTGTTGTTTTGCTTCCCGTGTTGTTTTGCTTCCCGTGTTGTTTTGCTTCCCGTGTTGTTTTGCTTCCCGTGTTGTTTTGCTTCCGTGTTGTTTTGCTTCCCGTGTTGTTTTGCTTCCCTGTTGTTTTGCTTCCCATGTTGTTTTGCTTCCTTGTTGTTTTGCTTCCTGTGTTTTTTGCTTCCTGTGTTTTTTGCTTCCTGTGTTTTTTGCTTCCTGTGTGTTTGCTTCCTGGTTTGCTTCCTGTGTTGTTTTGCTTCCTGTGTTGTTTTGCTTCCTGTGTTGTTTTGCTTCCTGTGTTGTTTTGCTTCCTGTGTTGTTTTGCTTCCTGTGTTGTTTTGCTTCCTGTGTTTGCTTCCCATGTTGTTTGCTTCCTGTGTTGTTTTGCTTCCTGTGTTGTTTTGCTTCCTGTGTTGTTTTGCTTCCCATGTTGTTTTGCTTCCCATGTTTTGCTTCCTGTGTTGTTTTGCTTCCTGTGTTGTTTTGCTTCCTGTGTTTGCTGTTTGGAGGTGCTGTAATGTGCACAAAAGATGGTTTTAGAAATGTAAACAATGGCTAAAAATTTTCTGAAGCAGCACCTCCACTAATTATAGCTACGAGTCGCCACTAAGACAAAAAAATGCTGTTAGTGAAAATTAGTAATGTTGAACAATAAGGTCAACTGTGACTTAATTAACACCAAGTAATAATATTACGTATTATTATTAATATTAATAAAAGACATCTATTATTTTTATTTAAATAAAACAAAACAATACAACTACAGTATCATTATTATTATTATTATTATTATTAACACCAAGAAATAAAAACAAGTATTTTTATTAACATGAAGCAATAAAACTATTATTATTATTATTATTATTATTATTATTATTTTGAACAAATATGATGGTAACATCTTATTAGTAATAAAGACAATAAATTTTGATTTTAATTATGTAAGATAATGAGATTTTGTTTAGGTTTGTAACTTGGTGTAAGATAAACCAGCCAGGTAACCTGGGATAGGAAAGGTTAGCCACCCAGGATAACCCAGGGCAAGGAGGGTTATCCACCCAGGATAACCCAGGGTAGGGAGGGTTAGCCACCCAGGATAACCCAGGGTAGGGAGAGTCAGCCACCCAGAATAACCCAGGGTAGGGAGAGTTAGCCACCCATGGTAACCCATGATAAGGAAGGTTAGGCACCCAGGATAGGGAGAGTTAGCCACCCAGGGTAGGGAGGGTTACTCATCAAGATAACCCAGGGTAGGGAGGGTTAGCCACTCAGGAAAACTCTGGGTAGGGAGAGTTACCCCCCAAGGATAATCCAGGGTAGGAAGGGTTAGCCACCCAAGATAACCCAGGGTAGGGAGGGTTATCCACTCAGGGTAGCCCAGGGTAAGGAGGATTATCCACTCAGGGTTACCCAGGGTAGGGACAGTCAGCCACCCAGGATAAGCCAGGGTAGGGTGGGTTATCCATCCAGGATAAGCCAGGGTAGGGAAAGTTAGCCTCCCAGGATAACCTAGGGTGGAGAGAGTTAGGCTCCCAGGATAACCCAGGGTAGGGAAGGTTATCCACCAATGTTAACCCAGGGTAGAGTGAGTCAGCCACTTAAGATAACCCAGAGTAGGGAGATTTAGCCACCCATGATAACCCGGGGTAGGGCTAGCCACCCAGGATAACTCATGGTAAGGAGAATTAGCCATTCAGGATAACCCAGGGTAGAGAGAGTTAGCCACCCAGGTTAACCCAAGGTAGGAAGGGTTAGCCACCTAGAATAACCCAGGGTAGGGAGAGTTAGCCACAAAGTATAACCAAGGGTAGGGAGGTTTAGTGGCGGTATGATCGTCTCCACGCGTGAGCAAAAAAAAAAAAAAAAAAGGAAAAATTATGGAAATTGAGTTAATCTTATAGAAAAATACCTTAACTCATTGGCAACACATTGGTACAAGAATCATTGTTATAGGACGTTCCTACAAGGAATTATAGTCATTCATATCACGTATGGTGGCAGTGACGTACATAGAACTCCTGATCTCAGCCCGTATATTTTTAAGAATTTTTAAGAATTTTCTTGTATTATTCTTTCTAATATAATAATTGACGATTTAGCATCATATGAGAGTGGGCAGAGCTAATACATAGACTTGCAGCCAATCAGAAACAGTCTGGGAACATTTAAATTATATCAGCAGAATTCCTGCTTTGGAGGCTGGAAAATACTTTCAATATACAGTGGACCCCCGCATAACGATTTTAATCCGTGCAAGAGGGGTAATTGTTATGCGAAATAATCGGTATGTGAATGAATTTTCCCATAAGAAATAATGGAAATAAAATTAATCCGTGCAAGACACCCAAAAGTATGAAAAAAAAAAAATTTTACCACATGAAATATACATTTTCCCACACACAAAGAGAAGGATACATGCACAATAG